ATATGTAGGGCAAGTTAGGGTGGATATTAATCTTGTATTAAACAGAAAGAAACAGTATGACTCTATGGAAGGTTCCTGTTGTTGATTACAAAACATCTTAGTCTCATGTGAAAGGCAAAAGTCAGAGTTTTGATACTCAGCCAGAAAGCTCTCTGTTAAGGCCTCCGCTGACGCATTTCTGTTAAATGTTACACCACAGTCTCCCTTTCACATATGCGAATAAAAAGTGTCACAGAAAAGACACAAAGGTTGTAGGTGAGATCACAAACAAACGGCGGAGGGCTTATAAAAACGTCCAGAGGCTCAAAGACAGAGTGTCGATGTGAGCGTCTCTCCTCTGGGCTGCTGGCAGAGTGTCGCTGGGATTTGAAGTGTGAGGTTTCCATGGAGTCAGAACAAGCCATCTGGACTGAGGAATGTGGTTTAGGAACGCTCCCCGTTACACACTGGACAACCATGGGTGTGAGGTCCTGATAAGAGCTGAGAGAAAGAGTGTGCGTGTGCTTTTGTGTTCTTACTCTTTCTGACCACCTCTCTTGTTTTCCAAGCCTCATTTCCACCTCTCTACACTAATAGTTAATGTAGGATTAGAACTTAAACAGGATTTAATACACGTTTTGTATTTTGTGTGTGTCTGTTTTTAAATCTCTTAGTTGTGAATCCACCCTTACATGGGCTATAATTTTGGGTTTTCCTTCATAGGCCTTGAATTCATGTTGTTTGGATGGATGAACATTAGCAGACAAAGCCTAAAGAGGCCTTGCGGAGTTGTCTTGTAAACAAAAAAATTTGTTAACATTCAGTGTTCTTCAACAACACGCATCATGTGTATCCTTGAATAGTTCATTTCCCTCTTTACTAAACATTTGAAAAGCTTGAAGTGTTTTTAATCCAGCATGGTTTTCATCTATGTTAAATAGCTCACAGTCTTCTTTGTTAGCTTTTCTGGCGTTTTTCAATCTTTACATTTTAACCGTCACCATTTTGGAATAGCAAGATAGTGTCCTGTTAAGTAATCTAGGGCTTTATGTGTTAATATCTGATTTACACCACATCATAACAAACCTATGCTATATTCATATGCTATTGCTATCTATATCTATTATCATGATATTAATCGAGACATGCATTAAAACAAAACTTCATATGAATGTTTCAATCACAAATATACCTGCTTTTAAGTGAGCCATAAGTTATGAATTATAAATCAAATAAAAAATGTAAATTGAAAAGACCCTGCATGCCATACAGGGTCTGTACACAGACAAATCAAATCAACCCAAACAAATAAAATGGAGGACATTTTAGCAGTGCTAGCATTGATAACATGTCACTGATAACATGTCACTGATAACATGTCACTGATAACATGTCACTGATTCTGCAATGGCAATAACAAAAGATGTCCTCATGGAACATTTTGAAATGATCCATATAGAGGATTTTATTGGTAATTTTACTATTGATGCCAGCAGTTTATTGTACAAGCAAAGCAAAAGTGTATGCATAGCTCAAGCAAAATGTTGCTCAGAAAACTGTGAAAATAATTAAAAGTGGTTAAAGTAAGAGAGAGCAGATGCATGTTAGAAACCCCACGCACATTGTGGAGAGATGGTGGATAATGGTGAATACGGTGATGGGGGGAGGGGAGTGTGAGGAGCAGCTGCTGTTTGTTATGCGGTCAGTTGTACATTAGCACCTTCTGCCACATGATAACTGCTTTTTTTTAAATCAATCAAAATGAGTGGAAATCAATTTGTCTATGAACCCATTAGTTGTGTCAACGCAATTGTTTCTGTTCTCTTGGCAATAGGACTTTAAAGATCCGTTTTTCCCGAGTCAATCTCTTTAACACTTTGTTTCAGAAGACCTCTCCGTAACCTTTGGCCAGATTGCCATTACATTTGCTGCGTGTACATTAATGTTTCCCCAGAGGATACATCCTAATTATTTTTCTGATTACTTTGCTTCAAGCACTATCATCAGGCTGAAATGAGTAAACAGGAAATACTTCAATCTAATGGGTAGAGTGTCAGGAAATCCAGACGATGAACCAGTAATGAACGAGCAAATGTACTCATTAATTAAACTTTAAAAAATGCATGTTTTTGTTCCCTGATCTGGTCCAAGGTTTATGGATGGTATTTCACTTTGATCCACGGCACACTGTTAATATTTCGGGTTTAAAAATGTGACATTAGCTATACAGCCAAGAGATCTCTTTCTCCCTCTGCGTACTTCTTACCATCGAGTAAATCATATATAGATTGTAGCATGTACATATAGTTAGGTTTTAAGAGTTCCAACAGAAGAACACTCTTATGCAACTTTATATTCAGTACTTAGTATCATTTGGGGGCCCTATTATGCTTTTTGTGTTTTTTCCCTTTCCTGTAGAGTGTTATATTGTTTTTTGTGTCTGTAAATGGTCTGCATAAGCCTGAAACACCTCCATTGGAATCTTTTGTTTACTTCCGTAACACAATGACATCACTGAAACACTCGCGCTTCTATTGGCTAGCGCCCCAACACATTGTATGTGATAGGCTAAGGGGTGGGACATCTCTAATGGCGCGTTTCCACTACAGCGCGGAGCACGGTTTAAGAGGGCTGTGACGTCAGCGGCCCGTCTTTGGTTACGTTTCCACTTGGCCTAGTACCGGCCGGCGGGTCCTAATTCACAGTTTTTCTGGCCTCATAAAATTGCGGGTCTAGGGCCAGAGACAACGAGGCTGAGTCGGGCTGAGTATGCTAAACTAGAGAGAGCATCGCTGGCAAGGGGGCTACAACTACAACAAGATGGACATATTTGACCGTGATTTAATTGTAATACACGTTTCAAAATGATGCCGAAGTAACAACATACTGATACTGGTTAGTAAAAACCATGAATTAATGCTTTGACAAGTCTGCAGACAGACGGCAGGCGAAAAACCTTTTAAAATGCGTGTGTTCTAAATGGAGATTGGCTAAGCTAACGCAGTATATGCTCCGACCCGTCCACACTCACAACAACGGCCTATACAGACATAAATAAAGCAGCGACTGTATTCGCCATGACACAGGCAGTCTGTGGTTTGTACTTGTTTAACTTTTGTCTAGTTTCTGAACATATATGAGGAGCTGTGAGCTCTGAGTGCTAACAGCTAACGGCTGTGTTGTTTTTTTTCTGGGGTTCTCATTGAAGATGACGTCACGGCTCCGCCTACACTGCATTACTATAGATACTACCCCAGTTCCTAAACTGTAATGGAAATGCGCCATAAAGTGAGCCAGTCCTAACGAGGCCCAGCCATACCGAGCGGGGCCGAGCGAGGCCGAGCGAGGCCGTGTAGTGGAAACGCGCCATAAGAGGCTGACTTTAGCTCAAAATACAGCCACACCCCACATCAATGGACTGATTTACATGTGTGGGAATGAAAAGGCGTCATGCAGTTGAAATGACTCGGTAAACAGTGGGCTGTTAAGTTGATCCGCTTCTTCTCAGCATGTTGACATTATCCAATGTTTGTTCCAAAATTAGACGTTTTCCTTTTTCAACAACAACATTGTTGTCAACTTTTCCTCTTACTGGTGATCGTCCGAACATTCACACAAATGACTATGCTCAGAAACAGGATGGTCTTCAACTGAAATGTTAGGTTGACAAAATGATGGTCGATCACAGAACAGTGTCGATTCTCGTAACTTAGAAATAATAAAGACCTACATGTACATGAATTCTTTTCCACCCCATAATTAGTATATAGTATTTTAGAGTACAACTTCAAAAGTCCAGTCTTTTTTCAGACGTCTTCCAGTTTTAGAAGCAGCGATGCTCATAATTAACTACAAATTACACAGTAGAATAACTTTAGCTTACAGCGAAAACGCTTTTAAACACGTCTTTGCTGACTTTGAAGTTTTTATGATTTTGAGTGAAATATCAACCATACCAACAAATATTGAACGGTTCTAATAAAACTAAGCTTCTCATTTAGTGCTTGATTTATGATCAAGCAATTGCGTTGACATTCCCTTTAGCCTCAGCTGCACTTTGTTTTCATTTTAATTCATAAATGTTAGACTAAGAAAATCTGGAGTTATCAAAAATAGTTAAAGGATATGTTTTTTGTTGATCCCGTCCTCTATTTATTGTACATTTGTTTTCAACTCCAAGCCTAATTTACAGATTACAATGTGGGGCTGCAGAATCTTGGCATTTTCACAGAAATCTTGTTCTGGCAACACAACACATGTCACAAGTGATATAATAAACAAGTCAACATTCATTGCCCTCTTGCTGCATGTTTTGGTGTTTCTATGACTTTTCTTCAGCCTTTGTTTTCAGAAACAAAAAGATCGGTGACCAGGTCTGTTTTTACTCCTACGGCTGTGTTCCCAGCCTTTAACCAGGATGTATGGATACTTTTGGAAGGTTTTCCACTGGCATTTTCTGTGTTTTCACAGAAATCTTTTGACCATCGTACATGGTTTCCTTGACAGCTTTCTTATCAGTAAAGGAGGAGAGAAAATCCTGAAAACTCTACCACTTTAAAATGTGTGTAATGTCGTTCCATCAGGACAGTCTTGTTGACAATGTCACCAGTTCACTGCGAAACGCTATCCACAGAATCAATGAAATAATCAGTTAAGTTCCTGAAATGAGAAAATGTACCCAGTGTCATTAGCCATGGGAATCCGCTCTGTTATTCAGTCGTTTTGGAAAAACTTGCTCACAACATGTTTTCTCAGTGTTGCTCTGATAAATCTGATCCTCGTTGGACACACTGGTCATGAGGCTATGAGACTGGGATAACATAACTGTGAAGAATGTGCTGTTCTGAAGTCAGAGTATAACAAATCAGAATTATGGGTTTCATGTCAGGAAGTAAGTCCTGGTCTATGCATAAATACACACTTTATGGTTGCTTTGACATCAGTGTCATTTTCAGTTTTATTGCCTCAGCAAATAAAACAATGAATCATACTTTTATTGAATGAAGTCTGTAACTCTAGAAGCGAGGAGTAAGCAGAAATGGAAAGGCTTTTCGAAATAAGTCATTCATGGAAATGTACAGGTCATAAATTGTAAATCGCAGAGATTTATGTGCCCCTGCTGTGTGTTCTTTCTTCACAGACAGGAGGTTCGAGAGAACTGTGTTCGCTGGAGGAAGAGGTTCACCTTTGTGTCCAAAATGAGCGCAAACCCCCACACCGGAGTCCTGGATCCCTCTGTCTGCAGGTTGTCAGTCAGGAAGGTACGACTTTTATACAACAGGTCAATCAGTGTCTATAAAAAACTATGATTTTAATTAGTTTTGACTTAAAGGTAGTCAGGTGATAATCATCTGAGCCATTCATTAACAAGATTTGACATGGAGCAGTACTGAACTACAAAAGAGATTAAGCAACAAATAAGCTATTTTTATGAACCACCATGTTTATGTTGAGTTTGAGTCATTTGACATCAGGTACAGTTGCAGGAATCCCCAGTACTGCCATGCTCTTAACTGCAAATATAATTGGATCACTGATCTAGAAGTAGTTAAAAGGTTGTCTGGAGCTATGCTGGAGCCGTACTGATTCACACTACTGTTCAACACATTTTGAATCAGCTGTTCTTCTTCCCTATTGAAATGGCTTTTGCCCCAAGAAAAGAATCAAATTATTCAAACTTGTTGCGTGGCACGTGGAATACTGTAAAGGCATAAATGACCCTTGACCAGTATAGAACCAACTCTTGTACCAATACCCAGCCCTGAAGAACTGCATCCACCAACAAACCAGATACAACCAAAATAAATGTACAGACTTTTGAGTCAGAGGTATATCCAGGATCCAGGATATTTCAGTGATGCTGAAATCTCCCATGTGAACGGCGCCTCGATGCCATGCTCTGAGGCACCCTGAGTGTGGTCTCAGCCTGTAATTTAACTCTCTCTTTGGGAGCCCTGTAATTGGAGGCCACTGTAATATGAAGTTGGATCAGTTGGATCACCAGTTCATTACTGTCTTCCTGTTTTCCCTGCAGGAACTCAAAGGAGGAAAAGCATATACGAAGGTAAGAGCTTGTGTCTCCCTATCATGTTCATGAAGGTTGCCGATGAGCTCCGTGTAAACCTTAATGCCACATTGTGTAAATATTAGCATTTCTCGCTGCACTTTGTCAAGCTCTGCACTAGCAGGGCTTGACAATAAATCAAAAAATGCGTCCTCCCTACGTTCACTTTTGCCCGGAATCTGCAGAACATCCTGCCAACACTTCTCTAACCGTAACTGTAAGAGCTCCTACCAATGAGTCACGTCTCGTGCAATGAAATTACAAGGTCAAACCCCTCAAGGTCGATAAACTTTTGTTGATCCGTGGACGTTGTTGCCGGACAGGAACCGTTTCCTCTGTTTTCCCCTATTCTCATTTAGGTTTCCTTTTGCTAAATATATACCCAGCTTCCCTCTTTAGAAGTTGGCTTCCTTTTTAAATACACACCTGTGAAAACAGAAGCTCCTCAAGAAAAGGGAAACCTGGAGAATGAAGCATGGGAACATTTAGATTGAGAGGAGCTGTAAATTGTAGTTCATTTAAAAATAACATCCCAAATGAGCTTCAGACAAAGGCAGTTTCCACACGGCAAGAAGCTGTGAGGTTATTTTTAAAGGTAAAGTCATGTAGGCATGTAGGGTCCATTTCAGTGTTACCTTCTAAATCTGGATCTCTAATGCTGGTTTCAGAATCAGGATCAGAATACCTTTATTCGTCCACAGGGGAAAGTTTCATTGTTCACACCAAGTAAAGAGCCAAAGATAGCTTATATTATTAAGAAGCATATTCAAAATAAAAGTAGAATTTACCAGTTAAGCCCCATGCAACATCTAGCAAGAAACAGTGTCTAAGGGCTTCTTAACATTTAACAAACTATGAATGTCTCATACCCACTTAACGGGGAAGAAACTCAGCTATCAGACAATATTAAACCATTTTTAGCTAAACAAACAGAAGGGTAATAACAAGCCTCCTGAATTAGCCCTGAGCGAAACTGTAGAAATACAGAACTCACGTAGAAATACTTTATTACTTATCGGATCTGCACAAACAAGATATCAGCTAGCAAGCTGAATTCCACAGATTATATAGGTATTAGTATCATCACTGAGAGACCAAAACTTGCGGCAGGGGAAGCAAACCCAGACAACACAGCTTAACGGGACCAAAACGGAAAATAACGTTGTTTTCTGATCAAAAGTTGTGTTCAATGGCATTAAAACGCATAAAACGCTGCTGAGGTTAATCCAATGTGTCTGTGTCACTTTTAAATGATTACTGATAATCCATCAAAATATTTATGGCAAAAAAACTGAGTTTTCATATATAGCTGCTATGATAGCTACGAGAGTGTATGACAAGCTTCCGGTTTTGGGCATTCTGCTGTGCAGCACTCATTCACCAATGGGTAATGTGTAGATGGATTTGAGGAACTTCCCTTCGATTCTATTGGCTCTAACGGTTTAAAAAGAGGTGTCAATCATCAAAATCGACCAAGGGGGGGCCAGAGATATGGAAAATCCACCCAAATGACCCCAGAAGTGGTTTTTTTTCTCCAAATCTCTCTAAAAAGGTCAATGTCACTTGTTTTGCATCAATCTTGATACAGGGTACTTATTATATGTTGTACTTTGGATTCCTAAAGCTTTTAGTCTACTATCCCATCATTCAAGGGTAGTTTACTTTTTACTATAAGTAATGGTTTATTTTTTGGACGGACACTATAATTTAAATTTGTTTTTTGTTTTTACTATGTTCAATCTGAATTTACTTTAAAATAAAAAACATCTATATTGATTCTGACTTTTCTACATCCAACTCACAGGTTTATCATTACTTTGAGAGAAAGATTATTAATTTTCCCCTTTTAGAAGTGAAGTTATAGTCATTTGTTCTGGGAATGTCATTTTCGAGCCTGAGACCTGAAAAACAGGCTTGGGGCTTAACTGGTTAACACAATTTACAATTTACACACATCCAGGAAATTAGAATAATAGGGCCTCTTTACTGAATTGTTTTATTTATGTAGTAAGAAACCACAATTATAGACCATGTAAAGTTGTTTTTGTTCAGCTTTTTGTGCCGTTACAGCTCGTCCTAACTCCCCCTTTCTCTGTGACTATTTTCCCATTTATTTTTCAAACAAGGTTCTGAATCTTTTGATTTTTGGGAGGGTAAAGGGAGAAAAAGATTACAAACAGACTGCATCATGCAGGGACAGGCCGTCCTAATACCTTTCCAGAGTGCACACTGTGTAGGTGTGCCATAGATTCCAAGGATTTGTTCCCAAATGTGATACTATAATCAGTGTTGCTCTGGCCTTCCTTTCATGATTTTCTCACTGGCTGTATATCCAGAGAATATAACCAGCTACCTTTTAAAAACATGTAACATGTAATTCTCTTCATCAATTCAACAAAAATATAGGTTTGATGTCTGTTAAGAGTGACATGTGGTTTCTAAACCCTGTCAATATATAAAGACTTCAGAAGCTTGTGACTTTTTTTAACGACGGTAATTTAGTAAATGATGGGTGTCACAGAGATCTCTCATGCCAAAAATAAAATGCCAATGAACCCGTCCATTAGTGAATCTAGAATTAACTTGTTTTCTTCTTTTTCACTCAGCTGGGCTTCACAGACCTCAACATGGCGGAGTTTGCGGGTTCTGGCTCCACTGTGCGCTGCTGTCTGCTGGAAGGATACGACACCAAGAACACACGGCAGGACAACTCTATACTGAAGGCAAGGAGAAGGGTGTTCGGGACAAAAAAAGACAAAAAGTCTGTTCCCTCACTGTAGAAACAGGAATTTTATTGTGTCGTAAATGTGATGCCTGACGCAAGCTAAATCATTAACTCTGACACTTTGAACCTTTTCATTGATTGCTTCCACTCCACGAGTTTAATCAGAAGAGACCTGATTGGAAAGGTAGAGGATCAATAGGCTCTTTGTCATGTCAACCTGGTGACTTCTGTTTAAAGTGCTTTGGTGTTTCTGTCCAAAGGACAAACAAACAGTGGGTTGTCTAAATGATGCACACTCTAAAATGCACAGAATAGAGTGGTGCAGTGACGAGTCCTAAAACCCGGAAGTGAGTTAGCATTTTACCACTACCGGTTCCCTCGTCTCAGAGCCAATGGGATTTCTCCCTAGGATTTTGGAAAAGAGCTGGAAATAAGGTCTGTGGTTGAGACAAATTTAAGAGACGGATCACGTTTTGTTCTATGACATTAAATACATCAGCAGTGACCCCCACTGGTGATTTCTGAAGAGTTTACGTGGTCTGAAAACGATGGTTGTTAACAAGTGGCTGAATAGGACTACAGAAGTTGAGGACGTTGTACATCATTACACCGAACACGTAAACACTCCTGCTAAGTTTGTTTGCCCTGTTCTGCTTGAAAGCAAGTATCTGCGCTCTTGCAAACTGTTAAAACAAACGCTTCAACTTGTAACATTTTGAATCTGTATTTTTGAATATGGATCTTAAGTTGGCGTGACGTTGAAGCAGCTGCTGAAGTTAGTTTATAGCATAACGTTAGCATTTTGCTTCTGGCGATTAGATTTATGATTAGAAAATTATAAAAGTAGGGTAAACATGTGGAGATTATCCGGCTGAACAAACGTGCATTTATCTAACAGGTTCGTTTTTTTCCACAGACCTTATTTCCAGCTATTTTCCAAAATCCCTATGGAGAAATCTCATTGCTTTTTTGTCGAGGGAACCCGAGCGCAGCTTACTTCCGGGTAAATAGTCATCCCTGCACCACTCTATAAGTAAAAAGGTTCTTTAATAGACCAATATACTATTTAAAAGATATAAATTTAGGATTTTATATATATTCTAAAGTTAACATTTTAGAATATTGGGAAGATCCACTTGGGATGCAACTATTGGGATGTATTTTTCGTAAAGATAACCTTGGAATAAAATGATTATTAACTTATTTATCTTTTTTTAAACTTTAAATAGCTTTGCTATAACATACGGTAGGCACATCAGAGCATTTACAAGTAGGGAGTCAAATATTTAACGCCCAAGACAATATTCTAAGTATTGCTCAACACCTGGGTAAGAAAAAAAAACAAACACAGAAAAGATTAATAAATAAATAAGGAATAATAAAGCTACTGCACTTTCTCCTCACCACAATAAGCCCAATGTCCTTACCGATCTAAAGGAGGCAAAACCTTAATCTCGGGTTGTTGGGTAATCCTCCTTACAAATGGGAAAATAGGGCCCCATGTTTCCTAAATGATTTAGTGGTTTTAGACTCTTGGCTAAACAAAATAAAAGCACTTTGAAGACATCTAAACCCAAAAGTCAACATCAACACCAAACGAAAAGCAGTCATCTTCACACACAGCTGAACAGTTTAATGTCTCTGTGGGTAAAGGAGCTTCTGGATCATTCTCTCTGCAGCGCCACCCAGAGGCCGTCAGGATACACTGCGCTGTAAAAACAAAGAGCCAAGACAGTCACGAGTAACTCTGTCATCTCATTCCTCTGGAAGACATACTGTTAACTCGTACGTCAGTGAGCTTACTGGGAAAGCACTCCACGCTTTTCCAGTTCCTTAACAGACATTTGGGTCAAAACATGCACTTTGACTCTTCTTAATAGCACAAATATAGGTTAATCAATAGGAACTGAAAAAAACATGTTTGTTAAATTGTGTGGTAAAATGTATTTGTATGTCTTTTTAAAGGTGATAATTGGGATGACCCTCCTGTCTGGAGATCCGTGTTTTAAGACGTGAGTATTTGAAAGAGTGTGAGATATACGATGTGCTTTATTCATGTCTCAGTCAGTTCTCAATGTATAGTACACAAAGTTCATCACAGAGCGTCTATCACATCAGCCTGTTGCTCTCAATATTAGTTTGCTTACCATTTTAACATTGTTATCTGATGGAGATCAGACTGGAACTGGAGTAGTAGAAGTGTGTAGAAGTATTGTGTGTTTATATACATTAATATGCAGTTGTATCTTAATTACAGTTCTTTCTATACCCACTAATTTCAGGGTACTTTATTGTAACTTTGTTAAAACTTTATACGCCAAAGTTGTGTGGGTTCTTTTTCCTCTGTTGTTGTTGGAAACATTAACAATGGAAAAGTTAGTAACACTGAATTTCTGGATTTAAAGCTGATCAATATAAACCAAGCCATACATTCTCCACTTGATTAACTGCAGATATTTTTAATAGTGAATCTGTAAAGTTACATTGTTTTTCTGTTGATGGAGTTCTGCATACATTATAATTGGTTTCCTTGTGTTTTAAGGACATTTGTAACCTTTTAACCAGATTGTTGAACATCATATTTCCACTCGTCCGTCCTTTATTGCTGCAATGACTCAGTTCCCCCCGCAGGCAATCCAATGAATGTGAAGAGGCTGCCAAGCTAAGCAGCTCTGTGCTCATTTCATATTTTCCAGACTGATAACTTGTGTTTACTTTTTTCCTGCAGGCCTCCCTGCGCAGCCAAATCCATCTCCATCCCGGGACAAGAGCACACCCTGCAGCTGGACTGTAAGGGGGAGGGAACGGCCGAGCCCGGGCCTGCTGGGGGGGTCTCTCTGGGCCGAGCTTCCAAGCCTCGACCCTCCATCATCAGCTCAGGTACAGCTCAGGTCTCAGCTGAAGCATTTAAAGAGGATTCTTTTAGTCTGTATTGTACTCCGAGACTAGGTTACATTTTGAATCTGGTCCAAATCTGGAAGACTACACATTTATCTTAAACGGTGTCAAAAAGACATGAGGTTAAGAAGTAGTACGAAAACATCTGATACAGTCTTGAGTCTTAGATATTGGCTAAGCCCCTCAGCGATAAGAGTTTTTCAATCAGAGACATAACTTCCTGGAAGAAGTAAAACAAAAAAGAATCATTGTCCTTGCTGGCAATGTTTAGGAATTCTTCATTTTGAAACAAAATACTTAAAAAAACAACAGGTTTTATTTCAACAAAAGGTAGTTTACAAAGGCAGTTGCTAAAAAACAGTTTGCATTTACAGAAACAGAAGTAAACAAAGACTGCTTGATGTCTGATCCTGCAGAGGAAGCAACTAAATAAACATTTTGACATGAAATAAATATATGTGAGGTGGTAACCATTTAGTTGTTTCTTGTTTTGGTGCCTTCAGGTCTCCTTGATGAATCAGAAGCCAGCCACTCCGGCCCTGCAGAAGGTTTTCTCTCTGGTCACTCTCGTAACTCCAGCTATGCCAGCCAGCACAGCAAAATCTCAGGTACAAGACTCACTAACAAATGTCTCATGTAGCCCTTTTTTGTGGGTCATTAAACTCTTTATTATACAAGACCTGTAGTTTTCCAATACTCCTGTAGGAAGTAACCTCGCCAAAGTATCGCGTTGATAATCTGTAATATTTTAAGGTCTCATCTGATTTCTTTTTAATAATAATATTATACTTAATTATACTTTTAATAGCACATAACCCATAATCAAGTCAAACTAGGGTAGGCAGGCAATGCAATAAAAGCATTTTTGAGCTTAGATTTAAAGAGGCCTTGTTATGCTTTTGGGGGTTTTCCCTTTCCTGTAGTGTGTTATATAGGTTTGTGTGCATGTAAATGGTCTGCAAAGGCTAAAATCCCAAAGTTCCCTCCAGAGGGAGTTTCTCTCACACACACTCCCCCCTGCCTGAAATGCCTCCGTTGGACTCTTTGTTTACTTCCATAACACAGTGACATCCCTTCTATTTGACTTCACTTCTATTGGCTAGCGCTCCAACACGTTTACATTACAGGCTTAAGGGTGGGACACTCAAGCATGTAAACATTCTCAGTAGAGGCACACAATTCATATATGAACCTGAAAAAGGGCAAAATATGTCCTCTTTAAATCTTTACAAAATCTAACATTGTCATGGCATTTTCTGTTGTGGCACTTTTAAATGTAGAGATACAGGTACATTGGTAGAGGAAGAGTGATGACAATCGCCTAAAGGTCTCTAGCTGTCACTGTTACTTTGTGTCCTACACACAATTTCTGGAACCCTTCATTTGCGCTTATCCCACTGGGTGTTAATGTATGGTCACATGGTCCACACATGTCTATTTGGCGAACCTGTTGACAGATGATTATATTTCTGTCACGTGGGGAACCCTTAAGGCTACTGAAAGCATACATTACAGTGTTAAGTGCACTATATATATATCCTATATGGGAATTTGTCTTGGTGCATAACGAAAAGAGTCAAGATAAGATACTGTATATAAAATAGAAAGTGGCCAGAATTACAATCAAAATGTATACTCAATCATGTTCTTTTTTTATGAAAAGAGAATAAATGTAACTAATAGTGTCCATGGTGTAATAAGTGTCATTTAAAGGAGTAGTTACTACAAAACTATATCAATTGTTTTGAGTACTCATGTCCCTAGGTTTTCTATGTAGTAGTCACATGTAGCTTGTATTAAATCATATAAACATGTCGCAGTAGAGGCACAGAATACATTTATGAACCTGAAGATGAGCATTATATGTCCTCTTTAAAATAAATAAATCGCTCAAAGCTTTGTAGTTTCTTATGTTTTTATTTTATTTCTTAATTGGACTACGCTCAGTTTTCCCTTTGCAATAACGTATGCAATACAATATTCTATGTTTATATTTGTTAGTGGTAGGTTGGCCTGCTATTTTGTATTCTACCTAAAAAAAGAAATATATTATATTAAAATATTTTTGTATTGCTTTTCCTTGTTAACATGCTGCTGTAGCAAAACAGTTTCTCCATTTTGGAATAATAAAGGATATCTAATCTAGTATAAGCCTGGGCATGGTGTTCCAGAGCCTGTTATCTCGAGAGCTGTCCTGACTGGAATAGACTGAAGGCCTCTGCCTGACCATATCAAAGTGCCAGCAGGGAAATACTGAGATACAAGATCGGAGCTACACCAACTACACCAACTATAGCGCGAGAAATATAACTCAACACTTTCTATACACAATACTCCCGTGATTGGTGATAAACAAAACTGATACCAGCGTCAAAGTTCCGTTAAGCGAGCTGTTGAGCATCGTAGTTGGCAACAATCAAGGTATAAGCGCAATAAACTGTGCTAGAATGTGAAATTACGTATCCGCAATCAAGCGTTGTCCTTCCCCACCTCCACGTAGCTCCATGAACGCAGCATAGTATTGGCTTGGTTTTTTGCGATCAGAATCAGAATCAGAATACCTTTATTAGTTCCCCAGGGGATACATTTACATTGTTACAGCAGACAAGAGCCAAATACAGCTTAATGTTACCTAAAGCATGCATAACAAAAGTAAAGATTAAAAAAAGAAATTATATATATTTTTAAAGTTACACATTTTACATAATACACACCCTGTAACAGTTCTGCGGATTTAGCAGCCAGGTATATCTTGCACAGTTTTTAACGGCATATATTGCACATATTGCAAATATTGCACATAGTTGGTATTTATCTGTTAATAATCAAAAGAACCATGAAATCAATTCTAAACTGACTCGAAGCCACTGTAAAGAGGAGACAAGTGTTGTGTTAAAAGCCTGTGTCCCTGCAGGTTACAGCACTGAGCACTCCTGCTCCTCCAGCCTGTCGGACCTCACACACCGCAGGAACACCTCGACAGGAAGCAGCGCCTCTGGGTGCGTGGCCTCCCCTGCTGACACCCCTGCAGAGGGCGACAAGGACGCCGGACGTCCAGAGAGACCCCCTCGACCTCCGCGGCCCATCTTACTCCCCAACAGGCCCTCCAGGTACGAACACAAAGTACAGTGCATAAGTCCTCTGCTCAGGAGAGCACTGTGGTTTGGCCTCTTACATTACATTGCATTTAGCTGACGCTTTTATCCAAAGCGACTTGCAATAAGTGAGCGACTTACAATCTAACTACACATGTATTTTTCATTTACTGTATTGATTCAGGAGGAAGCAGGACTCGGTGGAGAGTCACCCCTCTTGGGTAAACGACACCCGCATGGACGCAGATGATATTGTGGAGAAAATTGTTCAAAGCCAAAACTTTGCAGATGTCAACAACACTGAAGGTACAGTGGAGCACGATAAGATTCAGAGTAATCCAACATCAATAGTGCAGCTCTGTGTCATCCTTTTCTGTATGTTTTCCCTTTATTGTGAGTTTCAAAAGGACAAAAACAGTACTTAAAACAACAGCTGCACATTTGTATCTCAGTAGTGATTGCTTTACAGGTTAAAAGTAAATAAAAGCAGTCGCTATACTGTATACTGCTAAAAGGGGTTAATTACAGCCCGTGCACACTAAAGAGAACTAGATTTAAAGGGGCCTTATTATGCTTTTTGGGGTTTTCCCTTCCCTGTAGTGTGTTTATATAAAGTAGGTTTTTGTGCATGTAAATGGTCTGCAAAGGCTAAAATCCCTGAGTGGGATGGAGTTTCGTTCCCACACACTCAGCTCTGTGTTTTGTCTGCGTGTCGATGCCTCCTGGTTCCTTCAGCAGCAGCTCACTGTGTTTCTGTGTCTCTGGCTTTCAGACAGCAACCTGCGACTGTTTGTCAGCAGAGACGGAACCACTGCGCTCAGCGGCATCAGGCTCGGGAACAGGTGAGAGCTCGGTTATGACTTTCTATTATTGAGGTTTTTTTAAACACTTCCTCCGCTCTTTGTTTCTTCCTTCCAGATTGGAGTTGTAGCTATAGAGACATTTTCTATCGTTGTCTGTTTGTGGCGCTATACAGTTTCCTTGTCAAGAATTTGAGCAAAACCCCATAACGTTTTTAAAAAGTGTTGAAGTTTAGAAACACATATCTGGTCGGATTTAGTTTAAAGGGGCCCTATTGTGCTTTCCCTTCCCTGTTGTGTGTTTTTATAGCTGTTTGTGCATGTAATTGATCTGAACCTGAAAATGAGCATAATAATCCTTTTCAATTTAATTGGGTTGTTCCTGATTAAATACTTTTTGTTGATCTAAGATTGGATTAAATGTTTGCAGTTCTTGGCGCAGCTCTTTGCTTTAGACTCAAATACAGTGTGATACATTTAATGATTGGCTGTCATAGATGGTTAGGGACGATTCGGAAGTCCTTTGGAGGCAAATTCATGATTTATAGATTTTACTTGACTTGACTTTTACATAACATTTATTTAGCCGGCACTCTTATCCTTGGTGGGTACAATCCAAACAAATTGCAAAGAAATGCAGTACATAAACTTCCTGGTTTACGGAAACAAATTGACCACATCAACAGACTTTAACAAACTATATTCACTTTCAAGCATTAGTTTGGAAAAATAAATAAAAACTTGCAATAAACGAAATGTTTCAAAGCTTTAAAAAAGACTTAATTTGAAAGCCTACCCCCTTTTCTTATGACTGTCATCTGTTTGCCACTACACAATAAACTGTTAATAAATGTCCATGGTACCAATTAAAGTAAGGATTAAAGTGATGTAACTGCGATAACCCTCCAGCACATCAAACACACTAATGAACTTGTCCACACACACACTCTGACTCTGGTTCCTGTGTGTTCGGTGTCTGCAGGGTGTCTGCCGGCGGGTACGAGCCTGTGGTGATAGAGAGCCATTAGACCTGGAGCAGGAGCAGTGGATCGTGTCGTCTTCTGTCTCACTGGTTTCCCCGGAGCTTCAGCCGGTCTGATGCCGCGAGGGGGAGAAACCTCGTCAGTTTGCACTTTATGTGAAGTTTGTCTGCACTCCGTTCAGCTGTTTCTCTGCACAAATGTTTCTCTCGTACTGCCTTGTGGTGTGTTTACCTAACTAGATTTTGGATGGGATTTAGATCCAAAGAAGTCTGGAGATTTAAAGAGATAACACTTGATGGTAAATATGTTTTACCTGTAAGATGATAACAGATACAGACAGTAACATCATACATTTGTCTCTGGTTTTATTTTTCTGACTGATGCTCTATGCTAACTGTAGCATAAAAGGAGGGAAACGGTTAAACATTACGTCTGAGATGACTGATATTTTCTGTGTTTAAGTCCCCTTTTTAATACCAACCGCTTGAAGTACAGTATACTTACTTGTCGTATACTTTTTTTGCAGTTAGTATACAAATTAACAAAACGAAAAACACTTTTTTTTTATTTCTAAAAATGTAAGACTCTGAAATATTTGTGCTTACTTTGAGCCGCTCCTCTATTGCATTTCATTCTTTGAGTATGAATCATTTAGTCAATTAAACAATGTAAAGTCACTACAGACCAAAAATCTGCTCAGTTTTAGTATCTTATCTGTTTAAAATGGAGCATGCTTTCAAGCTGATATTGTTAGATAAAAAAATATTGGTGTCTTGTTAGGGCCTGCGTTAATTTAGGTAAAAAAGTTTAAAGTCGTTTCCTTTTCAGTTACTGTCAAGAATATTATGTCACTGCTCAAAAACAAATGATTGAATAGGACAGACTAGAGTTAAATCCACATGGTGTCCAACTTCAGTCAAATTCAAGCCACTTTCATTATAAATTCATTACTCAATTCCATTTTTTTAACAGATTTCTTTTGACACGTTCTACATCGTACTTAGCTCGATCCACTTTACCTTTCCACGTCTAGGTGGTCATGGTACATTTAATATCAAAAGGATATTTTAAGACTGACTGCCAGAGGACCATCTGTGGAGAACATGTGTGTGAGAAGTGACAGTAATGACATTACATTAGAGCTGAAAGAGACAGGAAGTCATTGCCGGCTAGCCCTGAGTGACTTCCTGATTTGCTGGCGACATATGGATGATTATGTTTCATGTTCACCAACGGTAGAAACCTGGCCAATTGACTACTTGATTTATTCTTCTGTCATAAACTGTGTTCTTCCCTCAACACTTGCAGGATGATATGTTCATCAGAAGTCATTTTTGTTAAAGCTTAAAGTAAAAGTTTAGAAAACCACTACAAAGATGCAAAAACTCTGAACCGCTTTAGTTTTTTTGTCTTTTTTTAGTTGTTGCTGTTCCCTGTTGATCGGGGAAAAGCAGTGGAACCACTTTGTGCCTGTAAAGTTTCTCTTGAATGATCCGGAAGCACCAGGAAATCTGTGAGTGCTAGTGATGGAGAGGAGAGAAATATTGTTTTCTTGTTCTATGTTGTAACGTGCAGGGGAATCCCATCCTATACTCACTGCATGTTGCTGCTCCATCTCCATGAAGGATGACTTGTTTATCATTTAGTTCTCCTCTCCATCCGAAGTTCAAACTGAATGTGAGGTCGATCTGAGAAACACAGTTCTGTGGTACAAACTGTTCTGGTTTTATTTTGAAAGACAGAGTTTAATCCATGAAGAGGGATTTCTGCAGACTCTAAAAGTCTTTGTTGCCCCCTGGTGGAGCAACGAGTCTGTGCTCATTTGGTGTTCACATGGATGTTTAGTTAGTTTGTTTACAGCTGTCTTCGGATGAACAAACACTAAAGTTGTGGAGAACACACACACACACACACACACACACACACACACACACACACACACACACACACACACACACACACACACACACACACACACACACACACCCAGCTGGCTGGTTGATGGGTTATTTTTATCAGTTTTTCCATTTGGGTTTTTACTCCAGATACTTTTCCACATAAAGTAAGAACAACATTTATTTTTGTCAAGAGTCTTAAAGTCAAATGTTTTCTTTTGTAAAAAGATAAAAAAGGAATAAGTCTTTATTTTCAAATGCAGGTTAAGTCCACTTGAGTTTAGTTGAATGACACAGATGTTATTTGCCAAGATTTGGCTCCAACTAAGGATATTCTACAATCATAAAGAGGGATAATCAGCACATTTTCAAACCAGCAAATGATTGTCTATTAAGCTTTAAAAAAAACAAAAAACTTTTATTGTCAACTTGTTTCCTTTCAAACAACAAATCGAAACATTGCTTAATTGCATCCGAAACAAATAAAATAATAATTTTGGCCTTGTTTACAAAGAAAATCGGCTTTTAAGACTCTGTTCTTCATCTGAAAACATACTTAAGGACAATATATTTTACGGTGAAGCTTTAGTTTTCCACCTTCCACATCTTCTTCACACTACACTGGTTGAATCCAGCTCATTATATAAAAGTTGAATCACTTTTCTTTACACTACCTGTTTGTATTTTTGCATCTGTTTGTTTATTAATCACGTGATTTCTCACCATTTTCGGGATGAGTCACTGACTGTAGTCTGAAATTGGGTTTACATCACCACAGCCTTTAGTATTCTTTTTAAAGCATTTATTTATATATTCTTTCCCCTTTTTAATCTTTTTATTTCTCATTGTCTGGAGGTTGTTAACAAGCTATGCACACAACTCACCTCCCTGAGTCTTTGATTTTTACAATTAGTAATTCTAACAAATTATTCTATTCCTACAAAGCTAGTATAACCTTATTTTATAGAGAATCTTTTTGTTATTTCTGCTGAAATGACTTTTAAACAATAAAAAGCTAATTAGAGTTTGTTTCTGTGTTGTGTTTTTAATCATCAGTGTTGTTCTAGCTCCTGTATCACAGTAACTTGACGGCATCATGCGTTTCCACAATGACATGAAGATGAGCTTTCTACAAAAATACACAATGTTCCTCAGGAATTTGTTTCCATATATTAAGTAACAATAAAGCATTACAAAAATACTCCAATACAAGTCAATATCCTGCATGGGAAATACTTCTTCATTTATGTTTTATAATTTAGAGCAGCTAAATGTACTATAAGCATTGTATTGAAAGCCATTTTTTCAAACACAACTGATACCTATAAATATTAGTTTAAACTTCTTTATGAACAGTTAGTTTAGTCCAGGTTTAAGGGGTCAATTAAGGGTTCGGGCCCCTCCAAAGGTCAAAAGATAAATCTGTGAGGTCATAGTATTATTAAAAGAAGAGAAAACAAAGCTTTAATTTCTTGGATAAAGTGTTTTCTTTCTTTGCTTCCTTGGGCAATGAAAGTTATTTAAGTAACTTTATTATATTGTTGTCAAACACTAAGAACCTAAACTACTTTTCTTTTACATTATAATTTAGATGACAATAACAAATCTGTGAGGCCAAATTCTGATAATATTGATAAGAATTCCCACACATTATTAAATCATTTTTGTTTCCCCAGAAGAGGGCGCTCTGCTCAACATTATTAATTCAGTGCAGGGAAACCCTTGAAATGAAATCATTTAAATATACTGAAAACTAGAGGAAATGTAGGTAGAACCTTTTGAGCTTTAGTTTCTTGAAGACTTAATCTCACAAATATTTATCAGAGGCATAAAATGATGCTCCCTGTGTGATAACATTTCCAGCAGTGGACTTGAGAGACACTTATGACAAGGACAGTCAAAATAGGAGCGAGCCAAGATCCAAAAATGGGATAACTAGGGCCAAAAGGGTGGGTGGAGGGGGTCTGGAGGACGGGTTTGGGCTGACAGCCCGGGGGCACGGCAGAGGACCAGGAAGGGGTCTCGGGCGACGGCCCGGGGGCAAGGCAGAGCTCATGGAGGGGGTCTCGGGCGGACGGCCCGGGGGCAAGGCAGAGTTCGAGTAGGGGCGAAGGCCACAGCGGGCAAACTCAGGGGGCCGGGCAGGAGGGCGAAAGCCGCAGCGGCAAAAGTCAGGCGGCCGGGCTCGAGGGCGAAAGCCGCTGGGGAACTCAGGAGGCCGGGCACAAGGTTGGGCAAGAAGGCGGCGACGGGACAGCTCCGGAGGGCGGGCACGAAGGCGGTGATGGGACAGCTCCGGAGGACGGGCAGAAGGCCAAACAGGACCCCCCGCTGGAACAGGTATCGGCGGGACCACCACCCTGCTGAAAAAAACAGCTTAGACCCAACATCGCCAACACCCAGTCAATATTAGGCTGGATTAGTTTTCTGGTTTAGAGGGGTTTTGGACACTTTAGCTGGTCAGGATAGCTGGTTTGGTCACAGTGGTCTAGCTGGTCACCATTAGCTGGTCGGGATAGCTGGTTTAGCTGGTAAAAGCTGGTGGTCACAGTGGTCTAGTAGCTGGTCACCTAATTAGCTGGTCAGGATAGCTGGTAAAAGCTGGTGGTCACAGTGTTCTAGCTGGTCACCATTAGCTGGTCAGACTTGTATGATCTTGAGTAGAACTTTAGCTGGGATTACTTGATGGTTAAGCTGGTCATATATGATGACGAAACACTCTCACCCAATTGCAGTAGCTCAATGAACATCTATCATTTCAGATCAGAGCACCTACCTTACCAGAAAGGTACCAGAATGTATTGTCTGTAAATAAATACTCATACATCAAATGATTAGAAGCAGGAAAATAATTTATAACACACAATGAACATTAACACAAATTTGAAAACACCCATTACTTCATATTTTTAAGCAGTTTCCTTCAACTGTTTCTTTCCGCTTTTCACAAGGTCCTGTATTTTTTGTGAAATGTAGTAACCGGCCAACTTCTCCCTCTCGGTCTTCTCCACGTTTTGTGAATTCAGCCATCCTCTGAAGCACTCTTGAAAAGAGAAAGGAAAAACAGATTAACTTTTAGCTTTGTGTTATGATTACTTAAATATGTGCACTGTGAGATGAAAAAGAAAAATGTATCAAATTTAGTTTTGAACATTCACTGTGATTGGGTCTATTGTCCACGCAATACACCGTATTTAATTTTTTCTTAATTTACATTATTTAATTTCATATTCTGTTCTTGTAAATATCATATTCTATTATATTAAATGTATATAAACTTTTTGCACTACTTTTTATTTTGTATTTTTGTATTTTGTTATATATGTTGCATTGTTGGAGGAGCTCAGGTCAGAAGAATTTCATTGACATTTCTACACTGTAGCTGCTGAGCATATGAGAATAAAACCTTTGAATCTTGAATCCAACACTTTTTTTTGTGGAAAATCCTAAATTGTAGGATAGTGATATTTTACTTTCAGAATCTACCTCCAGTGGATGTGTAGGATCTACAGTATGATAGATATATTACTTTACACCCGGAAGTATGTATTGTCATTCTTATTGTCGATAAATTGAGGGATATACGCTATATTTTATTAACACCAGTATGTACTTTATACATCCACCTCGAGTGTTTGTCTCTGAGTATGTACCGGAAATAATTTAATTTTAAAGTTCAACCGCATATTATATAGACTATATCAGCGCCACACCTGCGTAACACATGGCGCCTCTTGTCTGAATCATTTTTTAAGTGATTTGTAATCTATTCTTGTCGACTTGCAGCCTAATACAAAACTACCACTGCTTACCTCTAATGAGCCTTGGTAGAACAAGTGTCGAGTCATGGGGTCCAGGACTGACTGAAGACATGTGGAACAGAGTACATGCATGGTTTCGATGTACAGGAAACTGGAACTTTGAACAGGTGTTTTCATCTGTTCTGCCTGAGATTCACAAGTTCTTGATTAGGTGTTTGATGTGGGCTGGCATGATCCTTTCTGCAGCGATAAATAAAGAAACAAAGAAAACATTATTAATAATAGTAATGATGGTAACAACAATAATATTAGTATAACTATTTATATAGCACTTACACAATTGCAAAGTGATTTCTCACAACAAAAATAAACTCTCACTTCTTGTTAAGAGGGGTAGTGCAAGCTGTATGTGCTTATCAGCCAAAAAGATCAGAATACTTTTTTCAAGACAATTGTTCATGGTGATGTCACTAAAAACACATGATCACAAATATCCTCACACGAAAGTTAGTTTATCACATTATTAAGATGTGCAAATAAAAAGTAATGGTCTTTCTTCACACACTGTTATGTGATCATGAGTATTTTTGTACCAATGCCTTCAGACAGCCTTCTGGGTGCAACACCTCCCATTAAACACATGGGGGCAGCAGCGCTCCACTGACAGGAGTGAGCTACTACACGTGTAATTTCGTTATTAAATTCATATTCATTTATTGTTTCCATAGTTTTAAAGAATCTACTTGATTTTATTTAGTCATTCATGGTGTAGATATTGGGTGTTTCAATGTTTTTATATGCCTTTATTTAAAGCTCTTTGAATTTGCCTTAACAAATCACGTGATTCATAATGGAATGTGTGTGCGTAAATTACACTGGCAAGCACATGCAGTCACGTGTGCGAATGACGTATAGTTCTAGTTAATTGTGACGTATTTAGAATTCGAAAACACCAAAGGTAATTCTAGGGTTCTGGAAGGAAAGTGAAGTTCCATTTCATCTTCTGAACCCTCAACAGGCAGCAGACAGGACAGAAAGTTATATTAATCCTAGATATATAGATAGATATTCATTTATCTCCGACTACATTTACAGCCAGACTTCTTCATCAAACAGTATTACTTATTATCATTATTATCATTGCTTATTAGCACAAAGGCCAGACCATATTTATGTGACTTCCCCCTGAGTGGTCAACATTTTACTATACTAAATAGTTTAAAGGGTCAAAATAAGTAAATTAATATATGATAGCTTTTCCGTAGAAGCAGCTTTTCATCCTGTTTAGATATTGTGTTATTTTCTATCATTGGAACCTTTGAAAAAGCACATTTACAGCTAATAGTAGTTTAACAGTGGTGTTAACTTAAACCAAGGGCAACTACAATATTTGGAGAAGTTGTTTACAGTAGTAAAAGCTCTTTTGTTTGGTTTACAGTCATGTCACGGAGAAGCTCACGATTAGACTCCCAAGGATACTACAACAATGATGGACTACCAATCATTTGCTACAAGGAACACCTGAACAGGTAAGCTAAGGTGTGTGTGTGTGTGTGTGTGTGTGTGTGTGTGTGTGTGTGTGTGTGTGTGTGTGTGTGTGTGTGTGTGTGTGTGTGTGTGTGTGTGTGTGTGTGTGTGTGTGTAGCGCGCGCGCGTGTGTGTGTGTGTCTACAATTTTCATTATAGATCTTCAGACCTTTAACTTTTTATTTTATTTAAATTACATTCAGGGTTTCTAACAGCAGATGTTTGAGGACCTCTTCATGCAGTAGTAGAGCAGAGTCCACAAGCTACCTAGAAAGACACAAAACCAGCAACAGAAACATAAATAATAACATAATAACAAACATGGACAAGAACAGAAAGAGTTACAAAGACAGCAAGCAAATTAGTGACTATGACAGCAACGAAATGAGCGACTCCTACAGAAACGATGTCAACAACACAAGTAGTAACAGACACAGAAACAACAGGTTCTCCACTATATTCAACCAAAATATGTTTGGCTTTCTCTTCTTCATACTCGTCCTGTGTTTTGGTAAGTGTAACAAACAACTCTATCAACTTTAGTTCCTCAGCTTTTTACTTTTATATTTTCTGTCTTTTGAAGAACAAATGTCTCTGACCTGTTTCTTCTATTCTTTGTGTCTCTCCATCTACCAGGATTTGCATGCAGAGAAGAGTTTCTCAGATTAAACAAAGACACAATGACCAACTTCAAGGGTCAAGGTAAGACATTAAAATCATATTTATCATTTTCATCAGCAAACAAACTAGTGACAGTGACAGCAACACAATTAGCAACAGAAACGTTGACAGCTTCTTAAACACTTTCATATTGTCTATCTTTTGAAAATCGTGAAAAAAAACGGTTTCTTTTATGCTTTGTTTCCCTCCATCCTTTAGTAAACACATTAAATGAAGAGATTCTCAGATTAAACAAAGTCCTGAACTCCCTGCAATTGGTGGCGGACACTATGCCCAACTTCGCTCTGGAGAGTCAAGGTAAGACATTAAAATCATATGTATCATTTTCATTAGCAAACAAACTAGTGACAGTGACAGCAACACAATTAGCAACAGAAACATTGACAGCTTCTTAAACACTTTCATATTGTCTATCTTTTGAAAATCGTGAAAAAACCCGGTTTCTTTTATGCTTTGTTTCCCTCCATCCTTTAGTAAACACATTAAATGAAGAGATTCTCAGATTAAACAAAGTCCTGAACTCCCTGCAACCGGTGGCGGACACTATGCCCAACTTCGCTCTGGAGAGTCAACGTAAGACATTTAAATCATATGTATCATTTTCATCTGTTAGATTGTAATATCCAAAAATATTTTTAACTTTGAGAACGATTGTATCTCACTCACTTTGTGCGTGTGTTTTTTCTGTGCAGAGGCAAGAGTTTTACTTGATCAGTCTTCACAAACGTACTCCACACGAGGAAGCTGCGCCTATCTTTTTGGAATGTTTTGTAAACGACCTGTACACCCAAGGACAGTCCTTCAGGTAGGATCTACAAACACCAAAACAAATGGCAAATTATAGAAAGGTTTGGGATTTTTAAGCAACCTACCATCTCAACTCTATTTTTATACTCTTTCTTCACTCAGGGAGGCTCACCCCCGGCTGTAGGACGGTGCTGGCCCTTTGAAGGTGGGCGGGGGCATTTATTCATCACCCTGTCACACCCAGTCTACATCAGCCATGTGACACTAGGTCACATTTCAAAGAACTTGTCCCCAACTGGCATCATTCCTAGCGCCCCAAAGACGTTTTCTGTCTATGTAAGTCACAGATGTATCATTGTTACATTACAGATGTTCAGTTTAAGTGGGAACAACAAGGTGTTCAACTGTGTCTCTATATTCCTCTCTTGCAGGGCATGAATACTTTAGATGACAAAGGAACCTATCTAGGAACCTCTCTGTATGATCAGGACGGGGACGCAACACAAACTTTTGAGCTACCTGTGAGTATTACACTATGCAATAAACACATGTACATTCTTCTTTTTTCACCACACAAGCTGAAATATTAAGAGTAGTAACAGTTTGTCATTAAATAATTTGTTTTCCCATACTGTCAGTTTTTACTCAACAAGCTGTTTCTGCCTCTTTTCTCACATCTCCTAGGATCATGGAAAAGGTTGTCTTCAAATACGTGAAACTACAAGTTGAGAGCAACTGGGTCACCCCGACTACACCTGGGGGACAACGGCAGAGGGCACGGAAGCGGCAGAAGGACAGACAGGAAGGAGGCAGGCAGGGACGGGACCGGCTGGGGGGGGAAGGAGCAAGCAGGCAGAGGAGGAGGAGGATGAGGAGAGGAGGAACAGAGGAGGAGGAGGAGGAGGAGGAGGAGGGAGGAGGAGGAGGAGAGGACCAGAGGAGGAGGAGGAGGACCACAGGGAGGAGGAGAGGTAGGAGTGAGGAGGAGGAGGAGGGAGTAGGGAGAACCAGAGGAGGAGGAGAGGAGGAACAGAGAGGAGGAGGAGGAGGAGGAGGAGGAGGAGGAGGAGGGAGGGAGGAGGAGGAGGAGGGAGGAGAGAGGAGGAGGAGGAGGAGGAGGGAGGAGGAGGAGGAGGAGAGGAGGAGAGGAGGAGGAGAGGAGGAGGAGGAGAGGAGGAGAGGAGGAGGGAGGAGGAGGAGGAACAGAGAGGAGGAGGAGAGGAGGAGAGGAGGACCACAGGAGGAGGAGAGGAGGAGCAGAGGAGGAGGAGGAGAGAGGACCAGAGGAGGAGGAGGAGAGGAGAGAGGAACAGAGGAGGAGGAGGAGGAGGGGAGGAACAGGGAGGAGGAGGGAGGAGGAGGAGGAGGAGGAGGAGAAGGAGGGAGGAGGAGGAGGAGGAACAGGAGGAGAGGAGGAGGAGGAACAGGAGGAGGAGGAGGAGGACCAGAGGAGGAGGAGCAGGAGGACCAGAGGAGGAGAAGAAGGAGGAGGAGGAGGAGGAACAGAGGAGGAGAAGAGGAGGAGGGGAGGACCACAGGAGGAGAGATGAGGAACACAGGAGGAGGAGGAGGACAGGAGGAACACAGGAGGAGGAGGAGAGGAGGAGCAGAGAGGAACAGAGGAGGAGGACCAGAGGATAGAGAGTGAACACAGGAGGATAGGAGGAGGAGGAACAGAGGATAGAGGATGATGAGGATTATGATTAACACATTAGTATATTATTAACACATTATTATTATTATTAACATATTATATGATGACCAGAAGTATGATTATACCATATTATTATTATATTATTATTATATTATTATTAACATAGGGGCGCCAAAAACACCACCAATTTAAAACTCAAGAATGGATGGACGAAATAATTTTTTTTAAATTGCGATAGCATAAAATGAGCTTCGGACGCAAAACTTGGGACACACGTCACAGCCCACGACCTTTTCGAGAATGTAAAAAAACTACTTTAAAAAACTGCTCACTAGCGCCCCCTATTGTGTGGTAGTCACATATAGTTTCTCAGAACTTCACAACATTTTTGCAAACTCCTCCTAGGGGAATGATCGGAAAAATTCCAATCCAGGACAACTTCAGCCCCTATCCAAAATGATGCTAAATTGTGAAGCCAAATTTTGATAGCTCAATCGTGGAGGTCGTAAGCCAACAGCGAATACACCATTTTTGACGATTTACATGTCACAAATTAATCCAAACTACTCGCATACAGTTTTACCGATATTCATGAAACGCTGTATATACATTGCTCTTATGAATCTGGACATATTTCAAATTGCCTTCCATTAGCCCCGCCCCCCAGAAAGTTGGCAATTTTCAAAAATGTGTGTTTTTCATGCATTTTCAGCACATTTATGCAAACTCCTCCTAGGGAAATGTTCGGGAAAATTCCAATCCAGGACAAGTTAAGCGCATATCCAATGTCATGCTACATTGAGAAGGAATAGTCTTTCGCTCGAACGGGGAGCTCGTAGGCTAACGGACAATGTACAAGTAACCACGTAAGCCATGCTACTGATGCTGGACAGTTTTTCAGTGGGTGCACAATAAACGGCAACATACACATTAATGTAAATAAATAGCCAAATAATGGATCAACGCTCTCTGTCTAATATGTTCGCTAGCTGTTGTTAGTGTTGTTGCATAGCAACCACCTCGCACTATGTTTCGTGCAGAAGGCAACAGAGGGACTATTTTATTTTGAACATCATTATTTACTAATAAAAACTATTTAAATTAGAGTGTGTATTTTTCTTTCATATTCCCACACTTGGTAACCGTTTTATAAAAGCAATAGCTCACTTCAGGCCGTGATATATGCTCATTATATCACAGCTAAGGGGGTTGTCGACCCTCCGCTTCGCGTCGGGCCGAACCACGCCCCTTAGCTGTGATATAATGAGCATATACCACGGCCTGTCGTGAGCTATTGCTTAATTATTACATGGCTTAGTCTCCTAGGGAAATGTTCGGGAAAATTCCAATCCAGGACAAGTTAAGCGCATATCCAATGTCATGCTACATTGAGAAGGAATAGTCTTTCGCTCGAACGGGGAGCTCGTAGGCTAACGGACAATGTACAATTTTTGACCATTTATATGTCAGATAAGCTACTGAGACCTGCCTGTCTGCCTGCCACATCAACTCACACACACACACACACACACACACACACACACACACACACACACACACACACACACACACACACACACACACACACACACACACACACACACACACACACACACACACACACACACACACACGTTGTTAGTCCAACAACGCCCTTTGCTAGCGGCATATTCATTACAACAGACACCTATACACTCCACAACACACACCTTCTCGCTGTACAACACACACATATAAAGCATATAATAAATATCAGGCTACAGCCCTTGTATATTTTATTATGTGAAGCACTATATGGTTTCATGAAAAATATCTACTGTTTATTTGTAGATATCTCCTAAAGTCTACAAATAAAGTGTGAAATGTAGGCCTGTTACATATATTATTGAGCAATATATATTATACACACTGTTCTGCTTTCTGCACTGACCTCAGCAGCTGTTCTCACTGTAAACATCACGTCACAATGAAAGCAGTTGTATTAAAATAAAATAGCCTAACATCCAGGGGATTAGTGAGTAAACAAACGGTAAAGGGTAGAAAGTCTGATGCACATTTGATCATCTTAAATAACTTATAATCACAACGGGAACAGTTTGCAGAGCTGTGCTTCGTTGACATAAGTCCAGCCATGCGTCACGCCTCTTTTAAACATCACTGTTGGCTGAAATCGACTCCGGAGAATACATCAGTGTACCCTCGGTTATAGCTCCTCCAGAGAGACTCCTCTCTCCTCTCTCCTCTCTCCTCTAAATCAGTGTATCCTCGGTTACGGCTCCTCCAGAGAGACTCCTCGATAATCGATCCTCGACGAGCCTTTAGAGAATTTTTTTTCCTTCGAGACGGCGCGCCGACATCCGTTTCCGGGTCGCTGCCGGAGCACCTGGGAGTCTGGGGGTGTTTCTCAATCGCGAGTAAAGCTGCTTCAGAGCCACTATTTCAAGCATACTACGTCATCGAGTGCCGCCGAAGTACTGTTCCAATCTCCAGCATACTTGGAAATCTACCGAGCCCGGCGTACTCCGTTTGGAGAAATATCGAGGCTGCACATGAGTAGACTCCGCGGTCTTAAAATCCCCACAATGCTTTGCGCACGGACCAATTTCCCCAAATCTGTGGCAGAAGATGTAAGGCGGGGCCTCTCATATGACGCACACCTGCACACTTGCTAGCGTGTTCCACACTTCGTTTTCCGAATGCCAGGAAGTATTCTTGACTCTCTTCTGAAGCAAGATGCTCGGCAGACATGTGCTACCAAGCAAGCGTACTCGCGATTGAGAAACACCCTGGGGTTGCGGTCGAATACTCCAAAAAAACACCTCCTAAGTTCTAACCCTATCGTCTATTCGTTGACCTCGGAGTGAAACGTCATGGGGTTAAGGGATAGTGGATAGGAGAATTCAAAAGGATTTAGGAGAAGAGACTGCGGTACTTTAGAGAATCCGACTGCACTTTCACTATCCGACGTGTTTATGATGCGCCAGCGGAGGTCATGAATGTGCGTCTGCTGCTGTGGGGAAACTATGGAAACTACAGTTTTCTATACAGCGGACTACAACATGGATGTTTAATAAGAACGAGGGACTACTGTAAACTCATCTAGAGACTCTGCCCCGTGCTCTGATGCTGTTGTTTTATGCTTTATGAACGGGGACAACAGAGAAACATATTCTTCATGACCAAAGTTGGAATTGAAATAAAAAAGGAAAGTGAAACTTATGCTCGTCACCCTCTCCCTCCGGTCCACATTAATACAAATGATCCCAATACGTATGATTGTATGAAAAGATCTTAAAATAAATACAAATGTATTTATTATAAACGTTAGTCCTTAACATCTATCACTGTTTATAAAACGGACAAGTAAAATCAAGCAATCTGATTGGTTCTTAGCCGTGGTATACTGAGCGTATACCACGGGTAGAATTGTAAGTTACTTTTCACAACAACTCAGTATCCCTCCGCGTCTGAGATAAACAGTATACAGTTGGCAAACTGGAACAAGAAAGCAGCGGAGAAGTAACGGGGCAGAAACCCTCCTTTTTACGCAACGGTCCAGACATAGACATCAAACGGCAAAAACATATTCAGTGTGCAGTTCCTTTGGCATTAGGGCAGGGATATTTAGATACTTTCCAAGGTTTGACATAATGAATTGTGCTACTTTTAAAGCAAGCAACGATGTTTTCAAATCTGTAATCAAAAAGGTCCGCAAAAACATTTAAGATTAACTTCGACCTCCGGGGGGGGGGGTCTTACTATGGAGGAGTGGATTGAGGAGTGCCTATCTCCAGAACAAAAAGCACCTAAACGACGACATGTAGAGCTACATGAAGAGCAGGTAGACCAACTGGAAAAGTATCACCATTCAAAAGCTTTCTGATGCGGGTCTTGAAACAAAGCAGAGAAATGATGACCGTTAGTGGCCACAGGTGCGAAAGCTCTCTCCAGAGCTACTGGAAGCCGAATCTCGGGGACCGGAGAAAGTGGAGCAATATTCTCGCCACGCCAAGCAACAGCCTAGAACAACCTCAGCCTATACAAGTAACCACGTAAGCCATGCTACTGATGCTGGACAGTTTTTCAGTGGGTGCACAATAAACGGCAACATACACATTAATGTAAATAAATAGCCAAATAATGGATCAACGCTCTCTGTCTAATATGTTCGCTAGCTGTTGTTAGTGTTGTTGCATAGCAACCACCTCGCACTATGTT